CTGGTGACTGTATTGAATTTTTTCACATTGTGCAACTTGTGGTGACTAAATGGTTACCCAGAGCTTGAGACAGTTGCATGCCGACCACCACTTTTGATCGCAATGTGATTGCACTGGTCACTTCATAGGAAGTAACCTTTCTGCAAACAGCTGCACTGACTGTAGTCACTCTCAGGGTGAGTGATGGAGGCTTGCAGATAACTAGCTAATTTATAAATACAGACGGACTGCCAACATGCTGCCATCAGTCTGAATGAGTCATTGTCAGCTAAACACTGCTTAGTGCAACAGTTAAATATACATTTCTGTTAAATGTGAATTTCTGTCTATGTAGACAGCAACAGTGATTTTTGAAGATATATTACAATTAACTGGTGTATTATCAGAAAAGGACTGCATGTAGATGCCAACTTCACCCCATTCAATAGCAGACTGATTGCAGACTGAATCTGTCGTATGGTAGGTTTTAGTGAATTAATAAATAAATAAATAAATAACTGAAGTGAGATAACAAGTTCAACTTTGAGGGCATGATTTGCAGTTGAAATAATGTGATATATACTACTGCAATTCTCAGCAGATGGCAAACTAGTTCTGTTAAAATGACATCGCATTATGAACTTAGTGTCTGGTGATTCCCACTTGTAGTCATCACTATAGATCCAATAATGGCAGAAACGTCCAGTGACACTAATACTTATGAATCTAGTAGAATTCACTGATCATTATACATCACATAGATATGCATGAATGTAAGTATGTCTCTTGATTCATAGCTGGTATAACAAAGTAATACAGTGAAGAAGGGAACTCATATGTCAGACAATCAAATAAAAGTTGCGAGTCACACTTCAGTGTAGGTTTGGCAGCCTGGCACTGCACAACAATAATGCGCGTACTGCGCAGACTACACCGCTCTGCCAGAAAACCAAACGGGACAGATGGACGACGTACTGTGAGTGGCACATACAATAAGTCGCTCTCGTTCTCCAGGGAGCTCGCTGTATACAAAATAACCCGAATTTTAACACCTATCCAAGTAGCTCTGGAAACTATAAACGCCTGAAACATGCAGCTGAAGTCGCCCTTCCAAATATTAGGCTAATAACTGCGTAATAAACCTGCGCAACTGACGGAGCTAGCTACATAAGTGGGTAACGGGAATAAGTCACGACACGGTTAATTTAAAAGAACGAGTAACAGCAGCTAAAAGTTATTGTCTGGAGAACAACCATTAGGATAAACAAAAATAAGGCTACTGTCGGATAAAATTATTGTCATGAGCCAAAGGAAAGTAGAGTCATAAAGCTAGCTTACCACAGTCAGTCTGCACTTTTTCTGTTACGTATTAAGAGTTTAGGTGTTACCAATTAACACGTTTCTATGGTGAGAGAAAAAAGAGAGAAAGAGTCCTCGAGGTCAACCAGAGCGCTTATGACGCCGAGCGGTGGATTTTGAACCCCGCTACTCAAATAAAGACTACAGCCAAAGTAAGTTTCCAGAGCGACCTCCATCCCCTATCCCGGAGGCTGCTCACTCACTGACGCCGTAATAATCACCACGCGCTCCATCGTTCTTCGCCCTCTCGGCTGGCGCGAGCAAACTTACCTGCAGCAGTCAGAACCTGTTCACAAAGCTCCCCCTGATTCGACCCTGAACGCAACTATACAGCTGCTAGCCACAAGTGAAATGCAGGCATGTATCTGGGCTTCGGTATGCACCACAGTGCACAGTGCTGCCTCCACACTGGGGCCCCTCCTAAAGAGAGCAGGCTTGACCACCGCTGCTCCCGCCTACGGTGGACTGTGCGCACTAGAAAGTGATCGCGCAGATCAATACGCCACACTGTCGCACTCTGGTCAGGATTCAGCCGCTAATAAATTTTTATGTGCGTGCCTTCACGCCTGTCAGAATCCCCTCAATGGCATTAATGAAGGCAGCAATAATGAATACACTGTCAGGCATTATGCTGCGGTGGATACCTCTTAAGATCTATCCCACAAATATCTAGGCACTGCACACCCACTACATGCAGCCTAGAAGCGATTGGGCTCTCACTTTGCGGTCTTTCTCTGCCCTTCTCCACTATTGGCTGGAACAAACCAACCCCCCAATTTGCTGCAAACCACTGACAAGCATAAAAAAACCAAAACATAATAACTACTGCAACTGCTGCTTGCATGCATTATAAAAACTTCTCAATTTGCCACGCATTGTTATTGTTGTCCAACACCTCATATGTTTTCTAAACAAAAAAGCTAGAAAACAAGAAGGGTTAAGTACTTCTTAATAAAACATAATGTGGCTTTTGACTGAAACAGCTCCCTCTTGTGTCTGAAAGCAACATCAGCAGCAGCACCAGCTCACACAATCGTGCGACTTCATGAGTTTTATTACAAATGGAAACATGTCACCAGGGGCGAGAAAAACATGTGTTTTCTGTAATTAAATAGTCACTTTACTAACGAAGCAGTGGAAAACATGGTGTCATAACAATGAAGGTTTCAAAAGACGGTAAAGGCGTTGTATGTCATAGTTCTGTACAGTCTGTTAATGTTGGGGCTCTTCAGCGTCCTCCCCTCCAGGCTCCTCCGCCACGCTTCTTCCCTCCTCCTCCTCCTCCTTTAACCTTCTTCCTCACACCGGTCGCCTGTTCCGTGTCATCATCGTCTCCGTCCCCTCTTTTTGGCCTTTTCCTTTTGTCGCCTTGCTCCTTCATTTCCTGGGAAACACAAACGTTTTCTTAATGTTCATGTACACTAATAGCTGACTATATTCTATATACAGGCATTTTAGGTCAAGACAGAACAAGTTTGATTTAAAAAAATCAAACATTTCTAAATATGTATTTTTGAAGAAATTAAATGATTTCAGGGGTTCCATCAATCATTGGCTGGAGAGAGACTGAGTTGGTTTAGCCAAGTTTCAAACATTTGTTCGTAACTTTTAGTTTATGCTTGCAGTCATTGCTCTTTTAAATATATGGTTACATTTAAATCATTACACTCCCCAACAACTTTACCACCTACACCTGCCCGTTAATGCAAATATCCAGTGAGGTCAGTTCTCTGGTCATCTGCTTCGAAATTTGAAGCAGATGACCTGCGGCAGCAGAAGACCACACAGAGTGCTGCTCCTGTCAGCTAAAAACAAGGAACTGAGGCTAGAAGCTGCATGGTCTCATGAAACAGAAGGACAACAGAAGATTGGAAAAATGTTGCCTTGTGTGATGAGTGTTAAATTCTGCTGCCACAATTGGATAGGATGGTAACAGTTGGCATAAATGACATCAAAGCATGGATCCATCCTGCCTTTTATCAACAGCTCAGGTTGCTGGTGGTGTAATAATAATAATAATAATAATAAACTATATTTATAAAGCACACTTAAAAACCAAGGGTATGCCAAGGTGCTTAACAACTAAGATAGAGAATAGGAGGAGGATAGTAGAAATAGGACCAAAGCAAGTACTAAGTATGCAAGCAGGTAGCTGTCACTGATACATAGGAAAGCAACAGGTACAGAGCAAACAAGAATTTAAATGAGCATAAAAGTGCATAATATAAAATCATAAAAGAAATATTAACTAGAGGGAAAGGCAAGATTGAATAAGTGGGTTTTTAGTCGTGATTTGAACAGTGCAATGGAATCAGAGGTCGAGAGGAAGGGTATTCCACAGTGCCGGGGCAGCCAGAGCAAACGCACGGTCACCCCGGGACTTCAGCCGAGATCTGGGTTGGGTCAGAAGTAGTTGAGTGGCAGATCTGAGTGTTCTAGCAGGAGTATGTGATTTGAGAAGTTCACTAAGATAACTTGGCGCTAATTTATTAATACTTTTGAATGTAAGGAGTAATATTTTAAATTGAATACGGTACTTTATGGGCAGCCAATGCAAGCTAGCTAGAACATGAGTAATATGGCAAAATGTCCTGGTACCAGTCAGTAATGGCTTTGGGGATATTTTTCCAGCACACTTTGGGATCCTTAGCACCAACTGTTTACTGTTCATACACCACAGCCTGTCTGATCACGTCCATCTGTTTATGACCACGCTGTATCCATCTTCTGATGGCTGATTTCAGGAGGATAACACACTGTGTCACAAAGCTCAAATCACCTCATGTACAAACATACCACTAAATACTGATGCGTTGGCCAGGCAGGCTCAGACGGGTTTATGCACCATTGTTTTCCCCAATCACTTCTGCACACAGCATGTTTTTTTCTTCTTCAAATTTTAGGCTATATCTGACAAATACAGAGAAAAGACACAATAAAGACAGGATGACTTACTATTTTGGCAAATCTCTGGGCCTCGCTCACCCTCTCCACCAGCATCATCACTTCCTCCTCTTGGGTTGGAAAGGCTGGAAGTTTCTTCCCAATCAAGCTTTCAATTCGCTGGAAAAGCTCCACATCATACCTATGGTTATATGGACACCAGACACATTTACTTGCCGCAGTGACCTTCCTCTCCAAACCACAGTATTGCACAACTTACTCAACCATTCAGAAAATGATGTCAAAATGGTATAAAAATGGCAATACGTGGAAACAAAGCAGAGATGTTATTGTATATGGAATGACTGGTGACAATAAAAAGGCCCTTCTTACTGAGTGACGAAAGTGATGGATTTTCCAGATCGCCCTGCTCTGGCTGTTCGGCCAACCCTGTGAATATAGTCCTGTGGGATCAAACACATCCACAGATCAGCTTATCGGTGAAGTGAAATAAATCATCAAACGCACCAGCAACATGATTATCAGCGCCTCGGTACCTTAGAGTGAGTGGGAATGTCATAGTTGATGACGCAGTCGACATGAGGAATATCCAGTCCTCTGGATGCCACGTCAGTCGCCAGCAGCACCGACCGAGACTTGGACTTGAACTTGTTCAGAGCTCCAAGACGTTTATTCTGCACGGCGAAGGAAGGAAGATCCAGATCACGTCACAATATCCACCAGAAAGAAAAAGGGCAAACTTTCACTTCCTTAAAAGCTCCATTTGATAAAAGTCTGTGTGAATATTTACACACAACTCATATCATACATTAGGTCACATTTGCTGTAATGCCACAAAACCAGAAAGAGGGCTGACATCCAGCCAAACGGGACCAAAGCTGGTCAACATTCACTTTCATTCATGAGTGAAAGAATGTTTTCTTGGTCTACAAAAACAGCATCTTAGATGGTGCAAAGAGCTCTACTCAAACATTTAAGTGAACTGCAGCCTGATTTGAATGTAGATTTGCTTGTAGACTGTTTATGGTAAACTGCAGACCATGACAATGACTTCCAGATGTTTCCAAATGGTACAAAAAGTACACTAACTTGCACGTAAAGTTAATTAAGCATGACCTTAGCATGCGTTGAAAGTGTGATCATAAACCAAACTGTTTACAGGGTTTTATAGCATGCAGAGCAGCAGACACTACAATGAATGCTAACATCTCAGGTTAAATCCTTATACTCAACCGAGTCTCTGAAGCTTTACCTGACTCATCTGCCCATGTAGAGGGATAGCAGTGATGCCGAGGTTCCTTAACAACAGCGCCACCCGCTGGGCTGTGTTACACGTGCTGCAGAAAATAATAAAGGAGTTCCCGGCCAGCTCGTTCAGGATGGAAACCAGGTAGCAGTCCTGTTGGCAAAACCAAGAGCTAAAATTACTGAATATAAAACAGCTTCAGCAGGTCACAAACACAACTGTCAGCACATGGTCGACACATGTACACGTGTGCACCCTACCTTGTACTTAGATGGTATAAAGATGTAGTACTGCTGCAGTTTGTCTACTGTGGAGTATTTCGTAGACACCGCGCACTTCACAGGATCTTTCAAAGCTGCTCTCTCTAGTTTCTGGACCTGTAAACATATGACAGAAGGTCAGGCAAAGGCTACTCTGGCAGGTGCTTATTACTGTCCCCCATAATGTGCAGGACAAGGACGGCTAAAAGAAACGCAACTAACATTCTCCGCCATCTAGAGTCGACAAAGAGAGAAGAACACAAAGATACCTTTTTGGTCATGGTAGCCGAGAACAAGAAAGTGCGTCTTTCTCTTGGGATCACCTTCAAGATTTTATCCACCTGGCAAAATAAATAATAATAGATATAAAAATGACAGTCTACATGGGCTACATGCTTCTTGAAATTTGTACAAGTTAAATTCTCGAAAACCTTCTCTCTTTATAGGCAAAGAGCTTCACAAATGGACACGTCACAAGCGCAAATCTAGCCTGAGGCGTTGGAGGTGTGGAGCCCGTAGCCAGCAGGTTTTTAATATAAAGCTCAGCGTATCGGCTATTTGTAATCTTTTGTAATTTTACCAGCTCACCGCTAGTAATGTGAAGTTTAGGTTAATTTCACTTTTTGGATTTAAACTGCCACAAAGGTTGTCACATTCACTTTAAAATGCTTTCATCAATAACCTTTGAGCCTGCCATTTAACAGCACACTGAGGAGGATGTGGCTGAGGTGCTACAGTGAGTCGTCTAGCAATAGGAAGCTACTAACCTCAGTTTCGAAGTCCATGTTGAGGATTCTGTCGGCTTCATCCATGACCAGGAACTTCAGCGCTCGTAGAGAGAAGCCCTTTGTGTTCTCAAGGTGATCGATCAAACGACCGGGTGTGGCTGGAAAAAAACAAAACAATTTTTTTACTTAAAAGTGTATCATCAAAATCAGTTTATGAAGGATACAAACATTACAACAGTGGGTGAACATAAGCAGACGTGTGAAGTGTGAAAAATATGCAACGTCCTTAAAGGTAAAGTCTTACCAATAACGATGTGTGGCTTTTTCGCTAACACCAGGGACTGGGACATCATGTCGATTCCACCGACTATCACGGCTGCAACGGAAGAGAGACGGATTTAGAGCACAGAGCCTCCCACACCACTGCAAGCCGCCTCACCTTTCAAGGACACGTACCGCACTTAACGCCGATACTGGAGCCCAGGGCCTCAAACTGCTCAGAGATCTGAAATGCCAACTCTCTGGTGGGGGTGAG